GACAAGGATGATTTCTTGGGCAGGTACATATGCATAATTCATGTCCTGGTTGAATCTCATGTTGTCACCTTTCATTTGTCACCTGCATGAACAGTGGGGAAAAGTACTTCGAATGTTCAGAGTCTCCTTTCTGTTCTGTTGATCATTGAAATTGCACTACTGTATTTTGTTTTTAATCCTTCTTGTCTTGCACTCCTCCTCCCTATAGGACCAAATTGGATTTGGGCATTGTGAAGAAATCCATAGTTGTCGATGATGTAAGTGAGCAGTTTTCTTTTTTTATCTTTGCCACACTGAGGATGATTTTTTAATCATAAGACGGTGAAAGTATGTCTGAATGTGTCTTCCCAGTGGTTCACTCTGAAGGACACAGATTCTGGACGGGTTCACTTCAGGCTAGAGTGGTTGAGTTTGCTGCCAAGCACTGATCAACTAGAGCAGGTCTGAGTGTCTAATTTTCACTGATGATCAGCTTTTCGTGTGTCATCGAGGAGACTTGTGTTTGTTGTCAAACAATTACACTAAAAGAAATGTTGTAAAATCATCATCTAGGTCCTGAAGAGGAACGAGAGCATCACCAACAAGAATGCTGATCTCCCTTCTTCAGCCATCTTGGTTATCTATTTGGATAAGGCTGAGGCGCTTCCTGTGAGTCAAATAAGTGTGCTGTCTGTGCCCACATTCGTGCACAGCTCAGAGCTGCTTCCTGTGTGTGGTTAAACTAACTGAGCTGTAACTGCCATTTGTTTCGCATTCCACAAGTTTGTTGCCTTGGCCTCAAACCCAGTTTAATCTGTTCCACTGTTGATGAATATGGGTAACTCTATCCAAAACTGTTACACACTTTTCAGACTCTTCTAATTTTGTCATATATTTAAGAAGAAAAACAAAAGTTAAAGAAACTTTGGAAGAAAACCCCCGGCTTATTGTTTTTTCTCTTTGCAAACTTAGACTTCCTGATTGTGCCATGCAGCACGGTGCTTCATTTCAGTTATTTGTGCTGTTGCTATGGTAGCCATGCACACACTTTCATTGTGACCGACCTCATGTTCTTATAATAGTAGATAAATCTATTTGTTGTGCTGCTCTTGGTTACAGAATGGCAGTGTCTTACTCTGTATTCATATCTGTCCGCAACTGTGTACATTTTAGATGAAGAAGGGAAATAAAGAGCCCAATCCCATGGTGCAGTTATCTGTGAAGGACGTCACTAGAGAGAGCAAGGTACATCTCCTGGGAAAGCCATTTAAAATTCTCTTGATATGTTTTGTTTATTTTTTTGTCATATGCACATTTTTCCGTCTTCTCTTTAGACTTGTTACACAACCATTAATCCAGAGTTTGAAGAAGCTTTCACCTTCTTCATCCACGATCCTCGCAACCAGGACATAGACATTCAGGTAGTAGATGATGAGATTATGTACCATTTACTATGCAATAAAACTCATCTTTGATAATCTGACGGGTGATGGTGTTGAACTGTCTTTTCTTCATTAGGTGAAGGATGCTGACCGTGTGCAGACACTGGGAAACCTGGCCATCCCGTTGTCCCGTCTCTTATCAAATTCCAATCTTTCTCTGGACCAGTGGTTCCAGTTGGAAAACTCTGGATCAGCCAGTCGCATCTACATCAATGCGATTCTCAGGGTAAATGGGACTAAGACCTATGATCCTGCACTGTTATAATGTCTAATAAACACACTTACAAAAAAGTGGAGTGTAGGAAGTGATTAATTCCAAATTCAATTAAGAATTTTTGTCTTTCTGCTTCTCCTTTTTCCCATTTCACCAAAGGTCTTGTGGTTAGATGAAGAGCGCATTCCATCTGATGTGTCCTCCAGCTTATCCCAACAGCTCTCACAGCAGACCTCTCCCCATCCTAGCTTCGCTACAGAGGTAATACAGGACAGTCCAGTTATTTTTTTCTTTTTACTTGATAGCTCTTAGGATCTTGCTAGTATTTTGTTTTAATTATTTTAAAATTTAAAATACACATTTTATTTCAGGGACTGCTGAGAATTCACCTGTTGGCAGGTCAGAATCTTGTTCCGAAAGATAACCTGATGGGAGGCATGGTGAAAGGCAAGAGTGACCC